CGGGCGGGCGGGCGGGCGCGCGCGCGAGCGCGCGCATGTGTGTGTGTGTGTCGTGTCTTTTTATCCGTTTGTTCGGTTGTTTGTTTGTTTGCTCTGTGACGATGCCAACAACGCAAACTTATCTGTATCCTTTAATGTACACGCCGAGAAAGCTCGTGCCCCAGACCGTTCCGCATATGTCCTGCCTCGGTTTCATGTGCATCTGCAGCAGCTTGGTCCTCCAGCAGATAAGCTGGACAGTGCATGTGTGAAGCTTTAGAATTTATTAAAGCACCACATAACATGTGCGACGAAGCTGATTGGATGCAACAGTCACAAGAATTCTGAGCACTTGACAGCCCTTTTTTTATCTTTTCCTTTTCAACATGATTGGCGGGATAACCGTGTTTCATTCTGCACCTCTGTGCAAGCTGGCGATCACAACGCTTCAAGCTCCTATGGCCTGTGCCAAGGCAAGGCTCCTAAGGATTTCCTTGCCGGTTTTTTTGAAACCTGTGAGATAGGGGAGTCGATCGTGACTGTGCCGAGAGTCCCCTTCGTAGTAGTGGGTGGCTCCTACTTCACATCCTGACTCTTCATGTGTGGGGGTTTATGCTGTGTTCACGTTTTCACACGTAGCTGCCTCTCTTACTGCATGAACTGCCTGCATTGTTCCGGGAGTACATGCAGACCAAGTCTGCACAAGAATCTCGCATGCAGGCACGAGGCAGAAGGAATGGAATTTAGCCCTTTGCCTTGCACATGACATGCAGGTAGCACCATGTGGTAGGCCGCTTCCGTCTTGTCTATGATGGGCAGAAGCTTCTGACCCCGATGTGCCCTGCCAGGGTCGCGGCACGATAGCATGCTTGGCCTTTTCCCTGCTTTGCGTTCTAGCAAGAGCCTTATGTTACCATGAGGCATGCTATTGTCATTCAGCATTGCGTATCTCGGCGCGAACATGACATCCGCCTCGAAGCGTTTAACCAAGTGCGTGGGTGGCAAATCCCATCTTTCGGCACGAATGTTCTGCTCCGAACAGATAGCGTGTCCATGCGGGTCAGCCAGAAGCTTTTCTGGAAGTTGCCCCTAGAAGCACTTGTAGTGTCGTCGACTGTATACCACACAGTTGTCATCTCCTTCAAGAGAATCTCAGTCTGCATTTTCTCGGACATGTCACTGAACCAATATCCTGTGATGTGCTTCTCGACCAACTGATCAGTCACGGAGTGGGGAAGATACGCTGGGACACTTCTACTCTGCAAGGCGGCAGGAACAAGCAACGTGGGAAGGTGGGAACGTTCATCTTGTCGACGCATTTTGTCAAGGTCACCTTTCTGGAACATGGCCCCTACAAGACAAGTTGCTGAACCCACTAATGCCGCAACGCTGCGGGTTAGCTCATGCACACGGACTGAACTGTTCACGATCACTCTACGACATGGGACATGGCATGTCTCACTAAGGATCAAACTTGATCAAACTCGCAAAGATTTGGCTTGTCCGTTTCATTGTGGACATTTACATAGCTTGTGCCGACGGCCACACGTAGCTTCATTGTAGTTTGGAGTTGCGTGTGTGTGTTCATATGCGCACATACGTGGCAGATAGCTGTTCGGGGTTTTTTGGACAGTTGAGATGTACGAGTCTGGTCCTGGGTGCATGGCAGCACCACGGGCGATCTCTGTGCAGACAGATACACACATGGAACGTCCTCCTTCATGGAGTCCCTCATCGACCTTGGTCGCAAATTCGAGATCCAGAGTCAGTGAACAGATGATTTAATGGAACAAGCCTGAAACCCAAGCAAGCAGCAAGTGCGACATCTGAATGAACCGCCTAGAACCTTACTGTAGTCCTCAAACTGCCGGGCCACTGCAGCGTGCCCACCACCATGCTGCTGCTCGGACTGGTGGCAGAGGCGTCTTGCGCTGCAAAGATGCTCGCCAGCGCATCGCGGTCGGAGACCCTTGGCGCACAAATGCATGAACCCTTCATGACCCGCGGATTAGTTCGAACACTCCCTGCCATGCCTCCTTGCATGACAGTCGATGGAACGGCAGCGATGCTGAGGGTGCTTGAAAGAATTCTTTAACTGTCACATACCACAGCTGTCTGTCCTGAGGTTGGCCGAGGAAACCATCTGGCGCAGCACATCGGCATCATTCGTCTGCAGGAAACTGCCTCATGGCATTAGCGCTCACACTCATACAAGCCATCACTGCAACAGTCGCCTGCCAGCCCCTTCTCGAGTGCAGCCATGGCATTCTCAACCGCTACAAGGCTTTTCTCGGCTTCGGCCTGGCGAGCACTCGGAAAACAAACACTTGCGATCGTGGGGTTGAAGGTTTCGGGTCAAACAAAACCGTTATCCCGTTGGCAGAGAAAACTTCTAACAACAATGAGAGTCACTGTGCCGTATGCATATGATCTCACGGCAAGAAGCGACAAGATAGTGCAAAACGTACAAACAACTCTTCGCACTGCAGAGCGAAGGTGGTGGTGGTAAGCATAACCAGCATGCTGTTCCGTTTAATGCCACCGGTGACTGTTGACCCTATCTTTGTATGCAGCGGCATGAAAACTGCACGAATCAATAGAAGCACACATGGTCCTTCAAGGCGACATAGTCCTTGGAGTCTTTCTGCCTGCAGTGTGGCAAGCATGGATCGCTAGCCAGAGCGGCACTGCATAACGGCATCACGCAACCGACTGCACAGCCAAAGTTCCAGAGCCTTGGTGACTTCGGGGCAACATCCGTACAAACGAGGCACTGCTCCTCTCATCTTGAGTAAACCGAAGCACTACATAAACATGTCTCAGCATCCTCTCAACCATGACCTACAGGCAAAATGTCTCAAACCCGAACGTCAAGCCGAAATCCCAGAAACAATCAATAGAGCAAACAAGAGCACGAAGCCTGAAACGCCCATCGGAAACCCAAAGCCATCAAGCGCCAACTACACAGACATCTCCGGAATACCGAAGGCGCCTCAGCGACCTGGCGCCCTTCAGGGCCGCCAGTGCCTCGGACTTGTCCACAGAGGCCTGCTCCTGACAGAGACAACCAAACTCCCAAAATGGCCGGGATTTAGTGTTGTTGTTAGGTAGTAGCAGTAGAAGCAGTTGTGGCAGCGGTAGCAGTAGCAGACAGTACCAGAACAACAGCCAGCAATTCTGTGGATGGGATTGCACGACTCTTCAGAAACATTGTTTAGTGGTTCCCGCGCACCCGCTTCTGTTTGCATTGGCTGTGAAAAGCTATGGGCCGGCTTTGTTCCAGTGGCCGAAATCTTGCACCGCTCAAGTAGTCCTAGCTGCCGATGTTAAGTCGGGTGTGCGGGGCTTCATGCCTCAATCGTTTTGAAGTATGCACGTACAGGTGTGGCTGACAGTTCAAGCTCGTAACACATACAGGCAACAGTCTCCGAAGGGGACCCCAGGAGTAGTAGTAGTAGTAGTAGTAGTAGTAGCAGCATCAGTGGCAGCAATAGAAGTAGAAGTGATGATAGCAACAGTGGTAGTGCCAATAGCTGTAGCAATAGTAGCAGTATAAGCAATAGTATGGCAGTAGTAGCAGCAGTAGCAGGAGCAGCAGGAGCAGCAGCAGCAGCAGCAGCAGCAGCAGGAGGAGTAGTAGCAGTAGTAGCAGTAGCAGTAGCAGTAGCAGTAGCAGTAGCAGTAGCAGTATAGGTATAGCAGGAGCAGTAGCAGTAGCAGTAGCAGTAGCAGTAGTAGTAGTAGTAGTAGTAGTAGTAGTAGCAGCAGCGGCCGCAGCAGCAGCAGCAGCAGCAGTAGCAAAAGGGGGCAATTCAAGTAGTCGTAGTAGTAGCGTGGCTCCAAAAGCGGAGACGACTCTTGCCACACTTGGAATGGCAATAGTCACAACTGTCACAACCAAACTTATCTTAGCAATATGATCACAAATCCCTTGGGATGCCTTCTCTGCTTCGAGCTGTGCTTTCTGGGACGTCATCTGCGTCAGGTCGCTCTGGAGGACCGGGAGCCTGAGAGGTGGGGTTTAAGGTTGATGTTTGGTGTGGGTTCGCCAGGGTCAGCACAGTCTAAGACTTTATTGCGAGGAGTTTACGGTGTGAGGTTTCGCGCTTAGGGCTTGCAGTGCCGGGTTTCAAAAGCCTGAACCACTTCGGCCCGACCTTGAAATCCTCAGCCCATCAGACCAAAAGTTCGGGCAACCGGATTCCCCAGAAACACTTTCGGAAGGGAATTCGAACAAAGAAGTCAACATGCATAGCATCAAGCAGCATACCCAGACAGTGCCAATCACATTTCCAATGCTCCCATTCCCGCTTCCAGCACACCTCCATACACGCGAAGCACATAAGCAGAAACATGAGATGGCGGTGAACGTAATCAGCCAACCCCCGCAAATGGTGGTAGGAATCCTGGCAAACGCACTTATAATGACGATCCATCATTGTTTTCATCATTGTAACCATCATCAACAACAAATAACATGATCATAGACACCTTGCATGTGACCACTACGGTGAAAGGGGCAATATGACAATCAGCCACGGGCCTTGGGCATCGCCAGCGTTGCTATCATCATCAAAACCGACTCGTCGGTACCGACGACGATAAGAGTAATACTACGAACTACGAAGTGTCACAACCACCTACTATTGGGATGCTCATAGAAACAACTTGGCAAGATACAGCAGACACCTGGTCAACAAATCAATGCTCCATGGAGCACAGAAAATACGGCAAATGTGAACAGTTTTCTTGTCTCGAGAGTGAAGAGACACACAAAAATTCAACGCAAGTGACCTGAAAATGTGGTATAGTAATCCCATTCCTCCGGCCTGGACTGTTCCTGACTGATCCCGCCCTCCAAGTCTTTCAGAGTCTTCTTGCAGTGGCACTGCCTCACGTGATTCAACGCACATGCACCTTCCAGCTCCGTCAGATGTCTTAGATTGCTGAACCTACAGTATTCAGCATACCCTTGCTGTCAATCCACAACTGAAGCCGAAATCGACGAGCTTCCGCGGAGGTCGAGCCCATGATTGCCGAGGCACATCTTTTCCCAGAGCTTCTCCTCATCCTCTCCCTGCTTGACCACCCTGTCCTCACAGCCGGAGGTGGCTTTGTCGTAAACGACTAGTTCTTTGAAGCTACTGCAGGCTCAGCGCACACATGCTTCTGGATTCGGCAATACACTGACTTTCTTCCAGAGTGCTCATCAAATCTATTGGGAAACATCTGCCTAAATCATGAAACCACAGAACCCAGTACAGGGAAGATTGCAAACACGCCACCAATCACCGCACCGGCAAGACAACCACTGAAAAAAGCGAGGTTTCCAACAGCCAAGATTGGCTGTTCGGGTTGTCCAACACCTGCCAAAGCAAAAAGTCACGCTGGTCCTTCAGCTGCTCCAGTAATCGCGTGACTCGAGTCACAGGACTCGCTTGAAATTTCACGGCCACATTGAAGACAGGCAGGAGGAGCAATCCAAGCCTCGGCACACAACGATCGAATCTTGCAGCGCAAGAACACATGCTAATGACATTAGCGGTGGGGTTACTGCTATTGTCGGCCAGGCTTCACGATTTGTTTTCTGTTGGCTTGTTGCTTGCCTTCACATTGCAAACCTCGGCCTGCTGACCTAAGGTAGCGGCAGTCTCATCTGCGAGAAACCGAAGATGAACCTCGGGGACACTCGACTCTTCCCCCTGACACAATGCTCGCGGGAGTTTGTCCTCAAGCCTTGTGTAGACCGTGTGAGGCAGCTTTCGGCATCCACTGAATTGCTGCTGCAGAGTCAGCTAAAGGCTTTGACTTCGATACAGACATTGACATAGATGCAACTTCATACTTTATCGAGACCGATTACATACAGGCACATATTTGTCGATGCGTATCGACGTATAACCTAATTCCAGTGCAGGGCCTTCTCTGGAGGTCGCCGAGACCATGGGCTTCCCGATGCCCCGCCAGGCCCCGGGGCTCACTTCATTCCGTAGAACGGCTGCAGTGCTGCAGATCGGGGCGGGCTTGCACTGTGAGATGTGATGCTATTGACGGCGTAGGACCTAGGAACGGCGTAGGTGTGGACTCCCTTCACCAAGGCTGAAGGACATGAGGGACAGAGGTGTTTACCAATCCCGGAGGAGCGTCACTTTTTTGGGTTTTCTTTGGGGGGGCTGGAGGTCAGAGGGAACTCTGCAGGTGCTCAGAGGCTTGGGCTTCGTCGGTCCGGCTTGGGGTCTTTACGCTCAGGGTTTAGGCTTTCCGGGGACGCCTCAGGTCGGCTGAGAGCGTAGGAGGCATCTCGGGGCCTGCACACTATAACTCAACGCCAAAACTCTGGCAACTACAGCAACATGGTAGTAACTGCCACTAACATACCATCAATCAAGTGAGGGCTTGGTCACACCTCTGCCGAAACATCTCGTCAAGAGCCGTTATCTTGCCGAATCTTGTCGATGGGAAGGGTCGTGGTTCCGGGAGTGTGGCGCACGGTGTCGAGTCGGCGACTCACCTAATCACCAAACCGACACCATCTCTTACCCTGAAGCGCCGAATTTGCCGTTGCGAGCCATCTGCCGTTTAACCTTCGACTTAGCCTTCACGTCGAGACCTTTCAGCCCTGAACCAAGCAGCAAACGAATCCTTTGTCCTGCCCGGAACCCAGGAATCGAATGCTTCAAAACCCGAAACCGTCACCGCCTACTAAAGGATCGAGGTACCTCAAACCCAGATACCGAAAACCCGAAACCCTAGCCAAGCCATAAAGACCAGGCCGATGGCCAGCTGTTAGCTGCGTCGTAGCTGTGCATGGACCGGGATGGAAGCACGGCTCACAGGCAGTTCAGATCAGGGCTTCCAAGTTCAGATCTCAGAGTTTGGTGGCTCAGGCTTGTGGGGATTAGTGTGTAGGATCTCGCCACAGCATCGAATGCACTCGGAAAGGCGCTGTTTTGCTCTAGCGCTGACATGACTCACATCGCGAAAAACGCACAAAGCTTCGAAGCAGTTGGCACAACACTGCTGGCTGCAGGCCCAACCCCTCTCTGATCGATTCGCAAAGTCCAGTGCGCAACAGATGTTAGTTAGGGCGGGGGATGCCACTGACCGGCACCATGAAAAACAGAACCGCCGAGACGTTCAGAGTCCTGTCGACCCGCGGCCCGTCTGCAAGGGTGTGGGCCGTGTGGGCCGTTCAGGCACTTTCTGGATCCTGGGACACGAAGAACCTCACAGCAAGCGACAATCACAAGGGAGCTGGCCATCAGGCGAAAAAACTCAGCTAGACTCCGCTAGCAAGTGGTACACAGACATGTTGCTCACTCTCTCAACTTCACAAAGACGAGCATAGCACACTCCTTGATTTTCACGAGTCCACCTGCCTTTTCGCCTGTCGGACAGTCTCTTCGATGCTGGTTCAAAGGACGAGGTTCCACATCGACAGTCCATGGCAAACAAGAATGCTTGCTGCCCTTTTGCCGTCACTTGGCCTCTTCGAGAGAGAATTTTGGTAGGGCAAGATTGAAAGAGCTCATCACGCCACCAAGCCAAACCGAACGAAGAGCACTTGGAGCCGCGCGGATCTTCCGCCAACTTCTTCATGGTCTCCTCCTGAAGAGTTTCTGAAGGCGTACATCCGCCAGCCAACCCCTTCTGAGATTCTGGAGTGTGGGGCGTCGGCAGAAGGGGCTGCGTGGAAAAGATGCGCTGTCTTGAACTGTATGACTCAGCAGCTTAGTTCCTGCTTGCTGTATTTTCGCCATGCCCATAAACTGGGTGAAAGCGTTAACCTTGCGAGCTTAGCCAGCGCAAGCCTTCGAGCCACGCTGATCGAGCATGAGTAGTTTCACAAGCTCTTGCAACCACATGCGAGGCTTCTAATGCTTTGCCAAAGGCATAGATCAGCAGTTTGCGAAATCAAGACCTGGAAAGCATCTCCAGAAACTTTTGTCCGTCTCAAACTTCCGAGTGTTTCGTCTGGAAAACTTTGACCCTCGCCCCCTGGCCTTGATGGCCCCGCTTCCTACTGTCGCAAGGTCTTTCCTTTCGATTTTCAACGGGGGCACCTCCAGTGCGTCTCGGCAGAAGTCGCCATCCTTGCAGGGATCGGCTTCCATGCATCTGATGGATGCTTCTTTGTCCTCTCCCTGTGCAGTTCATGATGAAAGCCTTGGGATGTAGGAAAATGTGAACCTGGCCTTGGACCGGCCCTAACGGTTTGCGGTTTACCGAAGCCCAATCGCAATGCGTGTTCGGTTTCTCTCCTTTCCGCACTGAAGCGCCTTGTTCTGATTAAACTCTGAGCCGTAGCCCTCACCGCAAGCCTGAGCCCTGCGATCGCCGAGAACATCAAACAGCTTCGGGATTCGAGGTAAAATGCAGCCGGCGTGAACGTGTAATCACATTCCTGTCTGCACAATGTTGAGAGTACACATGCAACGCATATGTGTGGGAATATATATATATATGTATGCATGCATGCATGCATGCATGCATGTATGTATATATGTATATGTATAAGTATGTGTATGTGTATGTGTATGTGTATGTGTATGTGCATGTGCATGAGCATGTGCATGTGCATGTGCATGTGCATGTGTATGTATATGTATATGTATATGTACATGTACATGTATACGTACATGTATATGTGTGTGTGCGCACGCCTATGTGCCTGTGCATGTGTATGTATATGTATGTGCATATGTGTATGTATATGTAAATATAGGAACAGGTGTAGATATAGATACGGGTATAGGTATAGGCACAGATCTAGACATATTATATATATATATACAATGCAGATGTAGATGTAGATGTACATATAGATACAGACATAGATAGATATAAAAATGTGTGTATAGATATAGGTATAGAAACTGATATGGACAGACATAGAGATGTGTGTATGGTGTTTGTGTGTGTGTGCTTGTGTTTTTGTTTGTGTTTGTCTGTGCGTGTGTGAGTTTGTTTGTGTTGTGTCACGCATTGTGCATTATTCACGAGGGCTAGTGGTAGTGTTGGTATCAGTGTCGTTGTGCGTGCGCGTATACCGGGTGTGGTATTGTTTGTGTATATGCGCATGTGTGCATTGGCCTGGTTCTCTCCCGACAAGTGCTGCGGCACGCTGCGGCTTGCATGTGAGTGTTGAGAAACACGATGCTGCCCTTAACCTTAATGCCCAAGATCCTTCAAACCCTACTGAGCCCTACTGGCTCTCTGAATTCTGGGCGCCAGTGAACCCCTCCCTGTCAAGCGCAGACGCTAAGCGAGCGCCCACATCCAGCCTCGCGGATTGCGACGATGAGGTCGTTGAAGTCAGCGAACTTAGCCCTGCCAACAGGAGTCATGATCTGCTTCAGAAGATACATGAACAAGGTGTTTCAGAGTATGCGAAGCTTTCCTACATCGAGGGTTCTTTGGCACTTGGCGGTCTTGCGGGATCGTGACGGGGCTGCAAGGCCTGAGGAAATCTTTTGTCGTGGGGTTTGGTATCGGAGAAATTTGTTTTTGGCGTGCAGTATGTTCACCTCCAGTGTGATACGTTGTACCCCCTTCTGGCAGGACCCTTGGCCATCCCACTGAATCGACTCTGCCAGTAGTAGGCTGCGGCTTGTTGTGGATCGTTGGTTGCTTGAACAGCGAAGCAGAGCCGTGTGTCACCCTGAACCCTCCTTCAGCAACGCTTTTGAGCTTTTAGAGCACTACGGCATGTGGTCGGGTGATACCTGGCGTACACACACTTGACTTAGCGTTCTGAACTGCTCCGACCACCTGCCACCCAAAACATCCCTGGATTAGGGATTAAGGCTTGAATTCGCGAATCTTCATAAAGGATGCCTTCTAACATTCAGCGACATGCCTTCGAACCCACGCTGAACCTCCCCTGAAAATGATCTTCACCCCGTGACCCAAAAATTGCAAAGGAATGCAGCCCTGCCTTCGGGCAGCACTGTATAAGACAAGGTTGAAACTCCAGATGCACTCTTACAGAAGTCTTGTCGCAAGTCAGGATGAAACCTGAAGCCCTCCAAGTTTATATCCAAAATCCTATTATAACACCCTTCTTACTAAAGGTCCATAAGACAGCCCTGCAACAGCCCTCATGTTGCCATGAGCGCCCGGCTCTGGGCGAACGAAGCCGCAAACTATGAGCCGGAGCTCAGAATCGTAGAAGTCACCGTCCTGTTGGTTTTTTGGGGGCTTCGGGTGCAGGGCTTTACACTGCATGGCTTGGGACGACGCTTTAGAGCTTCGGGTTTGGGGCGATACAGTACTAGGGCTTGCAAGCAGGGTCCCAGGGATGTGAGACTACATGTCTTGGGTCTAGAGGGCTCAAAGACGGGGCATTTAGGGTTCATGGATCAACAATTATGGTCTTCAGGTTTCGACTTGGATCTTGGAAGAAGCCGAGTTTCCTTCAAGCTTGGCTAAATCCAACGAATGTTGAAATCTTGGGACCGAAAGATTTGGCAGAAGGGTTTAAGGCCTTGGGTCTGAGATGTATAGGGGCTAAGGCTTGAAGTTAGGGTCCAAGGTTTCGGACTTGTGGCTTAAGGTTGTTACCCAACGCTGGGGAATTCATGTCTTCGGCTGCTGGTCAGGGACAAAAAACGTTCTGTGCGCATATGCGACCGTCTCCGATGTGTGCTGTGTGCTTCAAGGACTTGGAGTTTGTAATTGTGAAGAGGTTCGAGGGAGGAGGCCAACTGCAGCGCCAGGAAGCTGACTGAAGCCCCGAAAGTAGGATCTTTTTGTACTGCACCCGAAGAAGCTAAGTCACAACACTACCCGCGTGATTCATGATTCTGGCATTCGCGTGTTGCTGCTCCGAGCGAAATCCTGCCGGTATCCTGCTGCCAACTGCAGACCGGCCCTGTCTGTGCCAAGTCTGGAACCCGAAGGCCCACGAACTTGACGCTGAAACGGAGCTTGCGCTACGCTCCTTTCAGGGTTTGGCGGCCTCTGGATACCCACCTAGTTTGCGAAGCCTGCCGGGAAGGTCGCGAAGAAGGCGCTCCATCTTGGGTGAAGCACAGAAATCCAGGACGGTGTGATCGACATCAGGAGTTCTTCAGTATGCAAACGAAAGCCATGAAGTCATGATTTGCCGCCAAGTTCTTATCCCATACCCCCTTCTGATGCCTTCTGCTTCCAGGTGGAGGTGGGTGAACCCGCCAGCTTGCAAGGCATCTACAACTCCTGCGAAGGCCAGCAGGCCAAAGTGTCCACCAGCCACGGTCACGAAGTCAACGCAGGTTGGCAGCCACGGCACCGGCCAGGGAATACAGAGCTGAGTGCTCACACCACAACTCGCCGAAGAGGAACAGCACGTGCGTCTGCAACAAGAATAGCCTAAGAATAGCTTGAACGAAGAGTTTCGTCCGAGTAGCGGGCTACGAGGTCCTGGGAGGAGCCGTCCATCACCGCCACCAGAAAAGGGGGTTCCTGCACTGAGAAGTCGAACGAGCTGTTGCTGTAGACAAAGTCGACACCACCAGTAGAGCACGAAAACGACGAAGTTGTGGGCCTGCCGTCGTTGCCTTCCGAAGCAACTTTAGGAGAAAACAGCATCCTCGAAACCGTCGTCGAAGTCGCTCAAAGCCAAAGCCTCAGCAGCACAAGCAACCACGTCCTCGGCAAGCTGGTCCATGAAGTCTTCGCGGCACAGGTTGAGCAAAAAGTCCAGCAGCACGGGCAGTTGGCACCGCAAGAAGGCTGGACACATGCAACGTCTCAGAGGGCTGTCGCTCGGAACAGTGCGGCCCTGAGGCCCGAAGTGGTACCACACCGAAGCGCCCGTGCCCACAGTATGAAGCACGTAGCAGCCGAGGAGCTCGTAGTAGAAGCAGCGCGGTGTCCAAAGAACTCAAAAGGGACCGAGGCTGGAGGGGCAGAAGGGTCCAAGCCACCTGCAAAGTCGCCGTCGCGGTGAAGTCGTTGTTGAACTCGCCGTCGTCGCAGCGCCTCAACCTCCTGCCATGGCCTTCCTTCGGCCGGCCGAGTATTCAAATGAGGAGGCGGGCGGTTTCTTTCAAGTCTGGAGGCCTGGAACGAAGCTGAAGCTATCGTCCCTCCTCGAGCGAGATTGTGGCACCAGTCGAATCGCAAGAGGCTTCACCGCAACATTTGACAGTCTGCAAACGAAGGCACGGCTGCGCCTTCAGTTTCTGGAGCCAGCTGGTGAAGGACCTGTCGGCGGGTTTTTGTGAAGAGACGTCCTTCGGAGTCCCGCCAGGTGGAAGCCGACGTTTGCATAGAGTGAGTTGTCGTGCTGCCGAAGGTCCGGCCCGAAAAACGTCCGCTGTGCCCAGGACTAGGTCAGCACCAAAGCGCCCGTAGCCCAGCACAACGAGAAGTTTGGTCCGAGTAGCGGGCTACGAGGTCCTGGGAGGAGCCGTCCATCATATGGGGGGCCTGCACTGAGAAGTCGAACGAGCTGTTGCCGTAGACAAAGTCGACACCACCAGTAGAGCACGAAAACGACGAAGTTGTGGGCCTGCCGTCGTTGCCTTCCGAAGCAACTTTAGGAGAAAACCGCATCCTCGAAACCGTCGTCGAAGTCGCTCAAAGCCAAAGCCTCAGCAGCACAAGCAACCACGTCCTCGGCAAGCTGGTCCATGAAGTCTTCGCGGCACAGGTTGAGCAAAGAGTCCAGCAGCACGGGCAGTTGGCACCGCAAGAAGGCTGGACACATGCAACGTCTCAGAGGGCTGTCGCTCGGAACAGTGCGGCCCTGAGGCCCGAAGTGGTACCACACCGAAGCGCCCGTGCCCACAGTATGAAGCACGTAGCAGCCGAGGAGCTCGTAGTAGAAGCAGCGCGGTGTCCAAAGAACTCAAAAGGGACCGAGGCTGGAGGGGCAGAAGGGTCCAAGCCACCTGCAAAGTCGCCGTCGCGGTGAAGTCGTTGTTGAACTCGCCGTCGTCGCAGCGCCTCAACCTCCTGCCATGGCCTTCCTTCGGCCGGCCGAATATTCAAATGAGGAGGCGGGTGGTTTCTTTCAAGTCTCGAGGCCTGGAACGAAGCTGAAGCTATCATCCTTCCTGGAGCGAGATTGCTGGCACCAGTCGAATCGCAAGAGGCTTCAGCGCAACAATTGACAGTCTGCAAACGAAGGCACCGCTGCACTTTCAGTTTCTGGAGCCAGCTGGTGAAGGACGTGTCGGCGGGCTTTGTGAAGAGACGTCCCCCGGAGTCCCGCCAGGTTGAAGCCGACGTTTGCATAAGTAGAGAGTGAGTTGTCGTGCTGCCGAAGGTCCGGCCCGAAGAACGTCCGCCGTGCCCAGGACTTGGTGCAATGCGATTGCTTGGCATCGACATCATGCTGATGCCGGGTCTCGAGTTGTATACCCGGATCGGCCGGCATCGATTGGGCTAAGGAACAGTGCTTGGAGCTTCGACAAAATCAGCTGCGGCGGCTGCGAGTTCGATATACACATTATATGTATATATATATATACATATATATATATATGTATATGTATGTATATATATATATATACATATATATTATATATATATGTATAGAGAAAGAGAGTTTTGGCACGGTTCTGAGGGCAGTCAGTCTACAAAATCAGGAAGCTACACGATAGAAAGAAATGCGTAGGATAAATGCCTTGCATCTTTCAGATGCATGCGAAAAAGGGCGACAACTGGCCTGTATCCATCAGTGAATCAGCAGGCTAGGGTTGGGCTGAGGCCCACTGCTAAGATGTGCTGCTCTGCCTCTGCAAATGTCTCACGAACTCATGATACAGTCGCGAGCCGGCGTTGAGTCTGGTGCGTAGTCGTGCAGGATCCAGGGCTCAATGGTCTTGGCCTTCGGGATATGCGAACAAGGCAATTGCTGAAGCAAAAGCTTTTCCGCATCGCTCTCCCCCCAACCGCCTCTAAGAGGAAAGTTGCGCATGCCTATGTCACAGCTGAGATGTCCCAACGTAGAACGTAGCACTTTGCGACATGACTGCACACCGATCCTTCTCTTGGCGGTACCTGGGAGTCCTACGCGACGTTTCTGACCTGAGCCTCTCTGTCTGTTGCGGCTTGAAGCGCAGGAGCAGCATCACCCCCAAATCAAGCTTTTCAAGCGACGTCCACCTCTGGAATCGACATGGTAGCCACAGTATAGCAACCCATGAAAGGATCCCCTGAACCCTATCGACAACCCACAAAGCAACACGGCCTTGACATCTGGGAATGTCGGGTTCCACCCAACACTCATTGCGGTCTGCAGCGGGCTCCAACAAGCAAGCATCTATGTAGCCCTTCCAGTGGCTGCAGGATTCCGGGGCTGGAACCTTACAGGAGCAAGGAATTCGAAAACCAACGAAAGGGGTTGAGTAAAAGGCTCCAGTTATATCAAGAGCAAGATTCCGAAGGGTATGCAACCGTGATTGCACATCAGGCTCCTAACTGTGCCAGCAACCACAAGACAAGCGCTGCTAATCATGCTACAGCCAACCGCCATACTTCAAAATTGCACCTTGTAGATGCCGCGGTCTTTGAAGCCTGAGTCCACGAGAAAGAGCTGCGCACGCAGAGTTTCCAGTTGCGCCTCAATGTTTCACTAGAATCACTTAGCATTCTCTGTGCCCGCAATGACAAGGTCCTGTCAAGCTCTTATTCAGCAGCAACCGCAGCAGCAATAACAGCGACGACGACACCGACGATGGCAACTGCAGAACCAGCAGTGGGGTAAGGTATGGTAAGCTTCAGCAGCTTCAGCAACGGTCTAGGTGAGACTGAATGTGGTGGTAGTAAGAGCAGCGACAACAAGGCTGGATCGACGCGAACCACGAACTGGGATTCCTGCCAGTCGCAACCTGAGCCCAACCGTAGTAGATGCCTGCGGCTAGAGGGTTTAGGTCTAAGCCATGGAGATTTGGGGCCTCCGGGGCAAATTCAAGTGTGGCCCGGTCGGGATTTGGGTCGCAGCAGACCCTGACTACCACGACTACAAACTGCTGCACTGCTCCTCTTCCTGCTCTGCTTGCTTCTACGACGACTCCCGCCACGACCGCGATTAAGACGATCGGATCGGCGATTCCAACTACAAGCAACTACTGTTTAATCCCTGGAGCTCAGTTCTGCCCGTCACGTCTCTTCCGAAGATAGCTGCTGAAGTGTCTCTGTCCTGCATGATGTTTATGCCGAAGGAGGTTTCGAACACTTTGCGATCTGGGGAGTCTCGAATCTCTCTAGTAGGGGCTGGGAAGAGGAAAGAAATTATCATTTGAGCACGAGAGCCGTCTGAAGCAAAGGTGCAAACACCCTAGCTCCTGGATTAGATCCCAAACACTCGAAGCCTTAAATCCCGACATCAGCAAGATCCGAAGACAAAAAAGGTTCGCTTGTTCCCATCAATGTGCTGTGCATGCGCTGCCTGGTTCGCAGTCTTTTGCAAAATCCAGCACCTCCTGCTCCTGCCGCGCATTCAGCGTCCAGCACGTAGTCCCAGAACACAGTATTCACTGGTATGTCTCCAGTGGTAACGCAATACCAGCTGTTCGAGTACGACTCGACTCCAAGTGACGACCGACAGAAAAGCAATAATCGTTCGTTCAGCCTTTCACGGGGTTACCTAAACTAAACTGAAACCCTAAGCTCAGATTTTATGCTACGAGGGATCCGACGTGTGGTCTCCTCAGCGGCCAACTTGCCTGCATCGCTCACCGAGTCCCATCCTTGGCCGGCAAAGGCAGAAAGACAAGCACATAACGAAGTCGGCAACAGGAGCCTTCAAGCCTTCGGCTTGAAGGGTTTAGGCCTGGATTGCTTCTTGCATCAGGATGCAGACTTTGAGGCTTAAGGTTTGAAGGGCAAAGTGTTGGCGAAACCACACGGCACATGAAAACCACAAGCTCTTTTGGAGTCTGTCGGGACGATGAAATGGACTTCTCAGGTCCTGGCTGACGTCCATATTAGCAGTAGGAAATCCCAAAAGCTTGCTGCCACGGCCTTGGCCCATCTGGGAAAGCTTATCTACTGCATCTGATGTTCATGATTAGCGTAGTGCTGATTTAGTATGAGTCATATCTGTTATCTTTGTGGGTGATTAGCAATGGCATTGTGGTTTGCATCATGCAAATTTGTGATTCCAGACTCGTAGGCTTTCAGTCAGTTGAAAGGCTTCAAATATGTTTTGTCTCACGGGGCTCAAGAGGCTTCGGGACGTGGGGTTTCCAGAGTGTTGTGCACACATTCACAGGCAGAACACGAGCATGAGCTGTAACAGTGTATACCCTTTGTTCTATCTCAGAGCAAAAAGGACCCCCCGAGGCATTCGCCAAAGCCTCGCACCACCTTCGCCCGCAACCGGGGAGGCGGAACAAGGGCCTCGGCATGGTTCGTTTTGGGTTCAGGTGTTTCAGGGTTTAGCTTCCTGGGTTGAGAAGAAACTAGGGTTTGGGTTTGGAAGTCAGGGAATGGGGCAGAGGAAACTTATCAGGGGTTCTGTTACATAATGGAAGTCATTTCGTCCACCACAGCCACGTGCAACAACAAAGCCTGGCTAAGAGTTGGACTTGCAATAGCTCACCCAAGCCAGTGTTAAAATCATCCCGGTGTACAATCACAAATCAGAGCCAAATGCACGGATAGGAGTATAAGAGGCGCGATACAAACTGGAGGCGGAGCCGGACGAACAGAAGAATATTCTGAAACGTGGTTAACACTGATTTAGGCTCCGATGCACTGAATTGGTCATCGTTTCTGCGCTGCAGGCACCAGCATGCCGTGAACTGTGTTGCAGAAACTCGCATGAGTTATATGGTCAAGCTAAATGCAGAGATCCACGAGCAATGCGATGTGGAGGCCGCATCGACCCGCTCTTCATCGCAAGATAGGCTACCATCCGTCAGAAGATACTCCGCCCCGGAAAAGATCAGTGACTTCGATAAGAGGATCTTATGTGCCTTCTTTTAGACCTTCGTGGAACAAGCATTCTGTGAGTATCTGATATACATATGTCAATTTATTTGGCTAAACACACGTATCAGAATTACAGACGAACTTTCCAAGAGCCACACGCGACGGCCTCTTTCCACCTTCGAGTCAGTAAGGGCCACCTCCGAGTCCAGGCGGGTACCACTGCTACATTTAACAGCTTGTAGCATACGAGCATCCATTCTCGATGAAAAGTACATGTTTATCTGTAACAGTATATCGTGCCCATGCATGTGTGCATGTGTAAGGATCCTCGTCGTAGCGTACCTCCGTGTGAAAAATGTCGCATTCCACGTTGCCCCAGCGTTTGATTGCCGGAGTTTAGGGTTTAAATGATGCAGCTTTACACCATTAACTACAAGAAAAGTTCCATTGCGTCCATCTACTACGCCAAGATCCAATGTGGCATCTAGACTTGCTCAACGCGGAAACTATTCAGGGGTGCACCGGCCTGGGCGGGTCGGAAGTCTTGTGACAACAAAAGCCGGAAGGCCCAGATACTTCGTTGTCTCTGTCGGTCTCTCTCTCTCTCTCTCTCTGTCCCTCCCGCGTTCTGTCTTTCTTTCGCAAGGCAGTTCTCTCTCTTTCTCTGCATTTGTCTCTCTCTCTCTCTCTCTCCCTCCCTCTCTCCCCGTACATGCATGCATACATACATACATACTTACATACATATATATCGACAATCTACATATATGCATGCATGCATATAGGCCAGACACAAATAAATCCAGACATAAAAGACATCATATTTGTACCTGTATGTATGTTCTGACTGTGCCTCATGGCTAGCATAGCGGCGTATTGGCATTGGCATTCAAAAAAGTTGCATTTTCAGGTATCCGAACCATCTTCATGGATACTTTATTCTCTCTGGGGCTCCATGGTGCTATATATATATATATAGATGGTAACCCCCCCCCATGAACCACTGACCCTCGCTTTGTATCGTAAATACCGTATTAGCTTTCCCTGCAGGTCCGGATTCCGTATCTCTCCAAGACTACCCAAAACCAAATTCACATTTCAAGAGAAAGCGCGGTTACCTCGTTCAGGTTCGACGTGAGCACGCACTCAGCAGCAAGACTGTACTCATCCAATCAAAAACCAACCGCCAAGCACTTCGTTCGGGTTCGACGTGAGCACGCACTTAACGGCAACACTGTACTCTTCCAATCAGAAACCAACGTTTTCCTAGGAGAAAAAAACAAACAAAACATCTTTTGGGAAACTATACGGCCAAACTCCAAACAGATTGTTTTTTGTTTTCCCTAGGAAAAAGTTGGTTTTCAATTGAAAATCCAACTTTGTCCTAGGAAAAACATGGTATTGGACCAAAAAACCAACTTTTTCCTAGGAAAAAAGACCAACTTTTTCTTAGGAAAAAGCTGGTTTTGGACCAAAAACCCAATTTTGTCCTATAGAAAAAGATGGTTTTGAACCAAAAAGCCCAACTTTTTCCTAGGAAAAACCAAAAAAAACATTAAAACCCACTTTTTGGGAAACTATACGGCCAAACTCCAAAAAGGTGTTTTTTTTGTTTTCCCTAGGAAAAAGTTGGTTTTCGATGGAAAAACCAAATTTTTACTAGGAGAAAAAGTTGGTTTGTTGGTCTAAAACCATCTTTTTCCCAGGAAAAGTTTGGTTTTGGACCAATTTTGTCCTAGGAAAAAATGGGTTGTCGGTAGAAAAACCAAGTTGTCCTAAGAAAAAATTGGTTTTGATGCAAAAAGCCAATTTTTTTCCTGGGGAACACCAAACAAACACATTTTTGGAGTGTGGCCGTATAGTTTCCCAAAAGAATTTTTTTTGGTTTTTCCAAGGGAAAAATTGGCTTTTTGGCCCAAAACCATCTTTTGCCTGGAAAAAATTGGTTTTTCAGCCCGAAACTCAGCTTTTCCTAGGAAAAAATTGGTTTTTCCACCGAAAACCCATTTTTCCTCGGAAGAAAAAGTTGGTTTTTCAGTCCAAAACCAGGTTCTTCCCTGGAAAAGTTTGTGTTTCACTACTTTTTCCCCTACACGAGCTTCTTGTTTGTACGTGTGTAGGCCTGTGCATGCTCGGTATGGCCCATGTGCAT